TTTGTTAGAATATTGTCTGGGCGGAGCGATAAGGGTGGTAATAGGAGCGATAAGGGTGGGCGATAAGGGTGGCTATTGATATTGTCTGGGCGGAGCGATAAGGGTAATTATAGGAGTGATAAGAGTGGCAATAGAAGCGATAAGGGTGTCTATTGTCAGGGACGATATGTGTTGATGTAGGGTTGTGGTGCTGATAATTTTCATGTGGTGTTATGATTTTCTTGTGTTTACTTTTATACCTTGTGCAATTTATCTTGTTGTTGGTAAATTGATAACAATCTGATTTATGTTGAAATTGAGAGCATGTGACTATCGCTAGGCGGATTATATATTGAAATGTGGGCACGAGATGTCGTGAGTAAATAATGAAGATATTTGGCACGTGAATTGTTCGTGCAGTTGTGATATGAAATGTGGGTACGAGGTGCTGTGATGAAATGATAATGATATTTGGCACGTGAATTGTCTGTGCAGTTGTGAGATGAAATGAGAGCACGAGGCGTCGGAAAAATATGATAATTTATTTATGGGCACGAGGTGCCGTGGAAATATAAAAATTAGCTGAGACCCGTGTTTACGAAAAATATGAAAATAGGCTGAGACCCGTATTTTTATGATTATGAAATGAGGTGTCACATGGTGACTTTTTAATTGAAAGAATTATATTCAAAATATTTATTTGGAAGGATTTTTATTCAAAAAGAATTATATGAAAGAATTGTATTTGAAAGATATTTATTTGAGGAAATTATATTTGAAAAGATTTATAGAAAGAATTATATTTGAAAAATTATTATTGGAGAACACTACATTTAAAAGAGAGTTATTTGGAAGAATTAAATGCGAAAGACATTTATTTGAAGGATTTGATTTATTGTGTGTAATTATATTTATTAATTGTTAAGCGATATTAATGGCATTCTTGTTATCTGATGTGCATATTACTGGTTGTTTTATGTTGCCCTTATTGTTATCTGCTTTCTATTATTTTGTATATTATATTGCACATGCTATTAGACTAGTGAGTGTCTTGACTGTACCTCGTCTCTACTCCACTGAGGTTAGTCTTGATACTTACTGGGTAGCGACCGTGGTGTACTCATACTATACTTTTACATATTTTTGTGCAGAGCCAGGTATTAGATTTATTGGACTTGAGAAGAATTAAAGCGGGATCGTAAGGATTCAAGGTAGAGCTACTTGGTCGTCGCAGTCCCTTGGAGTCTTTTTATTTTATTGTACTGTTAATTTTTTATCAAACAGTAGTGTATATTCGATCCTCGTGGTCATTCTATGTATTCAGTTAGAGTTTGTGACTCAGTACTACCAATCTTGGGAGGTTGTACATTCATATGTGTTCCGCTGTTAGTTTTGGTTACTTATTTAATTAAAAAGAAATGGCTCCAAAAATATAATTGAAATCAACTTACCTAGTCTTTCAGACTAGGTGCCATCACAACGCCTGTGGTGGGATTTTTAGGTCGTGACAGTATTCCCATACAATATCCTTAAATAGCTCTATGTCAAATAGTCCCCTGGTAGTCAGGTCGATCCTATTGGCATAGTTGAGTTCAACCATCATGAAAGCGAAGAACTTATTAAATTTTATACTCCCCCGGGTAGTCCGGGCGTCTAGTGTAAAATTAAATAATTCTTCCAATCCATATATCTAGTGCAATAAATAATTTTAACATATTCTCGAACTCTAAGTCTCCTAGTTGTCAGGCCGCTCCTTATAAACAATAAATAAATAAAATTATTTATTTTGATGGATAGATTTACAATAAAATATCTTATATTTTATTATTTAAGAACTCAAATTTTAGTAAGAGGGAATTGTTACTAAAATAATTTTTAATAACATAAAGATCAAATCTTTTTTTGAATGTGAATTTAGTTCAAGTTGTCTACATGCTTAGTCCTAAATTAATTTACATCACATGTAATAAATAATTTAAAATTATGTAGTGAACAAGCACGTAACATAAAAATGAAATTTAACATCTTCTAATATGTTTATATTATATGTCACATAAAATAATTTATGCTAGAACATTATTATAAATTTATATCTCATAAACTAATAACAATTAAAATAATTGTATAATCTAATAACCTATTATAGATTATCGTTGTATCTTGTACGAAATTTCAAATTCAAGTTATTAACTATCTCAATAGTTTAATTTATATGAATACATATTTTATTCACAATTAAATAATATCATTACATATGCATTCAACCAATTTAACTACTGCAAAAGATACATATATTATGGTTTGAACTCTTCAAATATAATCTTAAAATATTTCGTAAATAAATTTTAGACATAATAAACCACGGCTCTGATATCACTGCAAGATTGCACATCGGTGTTCATAACACGCAGTGGAAGACAATAACAATCCTAGGCAGAACTTTTTGTGTTTAAAATTTATTTATATGTCAGAGATTGGATCTAAGACGTACCTGGTGAAGAGAGTCTCATTTTAAATTTCTTCGATAGTGCAAAGAATCTATGCGTATCCACACCGAGACTGATCCTTGCTATCAACTTTTTGATCAATGAAATCCCGCGAACAAATTGAATGAAAATATTGTGTTGAATTTTTCCTTAAAAATTTCAACTCAAAGGTAGAAGAACAAGAAATAATTTTCTTGTACTAGTATTTTCTATCTTGGCTTTATATTGCACTATTAGTTTCTCAAAATAATTTTCTTCTCAAGAATAATTCTCTTGGTTTTTATATGACTTTACAATGTATGTAAGATCTATATCACCTTAATTCTTAATTAGGACTCGCACATATATATACACATAATTTCCATTGAAAAATACAAATCACATACTTTATGATAAATATTTAAAAAACATGTAACTCATTTATGGAATTCAATTGTAAATTAAATTCTACAACTTAGTCATACTTTTAAAATAAAAACATGTAACTTATTTATGGAATTCAACTCTAAATTGAATTCTACAACTTAGTCAACATTTTAATATAAAAATATATAACTAATTTATGGAATTCAATTCTAAATTGAATTCTATATATTAGTCAATATTTTAAAATAAAAACATGTAACTCATTTATGGAATTCAATTCTAAATTGAATTCGACAAATATTAATTATAATTACCAATTGCATATATATATATATATCAACCAAGAGATGTAATTTAATTTTCTTATTTAAAATAGAAAATTTTAACTTGTCCACAATATTAATTATATCCTATGTGCTAGCAAAGAATATAATATTTTATTTGGACTAATAACTAAATTTATTTGACTAATTAAATTCTTTAATTTAATTATCAAATAATAAAGTAATTAATCCTTTAGCAAAGATCAGAACACTCGTTAGTGTGCGACCCCATAGGTTCAATACTAAACCGGTAGTAAATTGATCACATCAATATACTAATCAAGGGTGGCGTTTGGCAATACTCCTTAACGATCGGATAGCATGAAGTATACAATTTACTCTCAAGAACCTGTAGAAGAATAATGTATTAATTTCTTCTGTCCTTATAGCTCTAGGTCACCCTAGGATATGGTTCAACTGTCAAATCTTAATAGGTGGCCGACTATGTGTTCATATCAAAAATAATCGACCATTGAATGACCTAAGAAACTCTTTTCTTCTTTCATTCAATCGCCCTGACCAAGGTCTTAATTTGGTCGGTTATAGTTTATGATAACATGGAGCTTAAACTCATTACCAAGAGTTGACAGATTCCATCTTGATCAATCACTAATTCTACAAGTATTTAACCGTACCCAATATCCTTTCAACTATCGCCCTAGGGCCATAGGTGTCTAGTATCAAAGCACAATAAATAACTTGTCAATTACTATGATGATATCAGGTCAAAGGAAACTCTTACATCACATTCTTCAAGAGAATATCCTATTGACAGTTTATGGTAATTCTAACTATTAGGAATTATCTAATGAATCGGTTCAGTGATCATATCTCTATATGCATCATCTATTTATGTTATTTAGTTAATGAGATCAACTGATCTTTATCCCATAAAGACGATCACATAAATATTGATCAAACCGGATTACTAATGTCCAAATTAATAATCCTATGATCAAGAACAAAATTTAGATTAAATTGTAAGAGACTTTACTCTCATTATCATGATCTCCATCATGATGACAAGTCTCAAAATTTAATCAAGGACCTTATTAAATTAATCAAGTAATTAATAATAACTATGATAAACGAATATCGAATGCCATATATTTTCATATTAAATAACATCCACAAAAATATGTTCAAATCATCAAATATGAGATTGGATCTAGGGCATATCTAATATATCCCTAACACTTGCTATATAATGTGAGAAAAACCTGTTTGATATTTGGGAATACCATCAACGGACACGTAATGATTTATGGTTCAGCCTGAACTTTCCCGAGTTTTAATCTTGTTTAGATTTTTTTTTTATTTAATCATTTTCATATTACTGGATAGCAGTGTCGTCGAAGACGTACTTCCAGTTGAGGCGAGGCGCAAAACATGTTGAGTGCTTCACCTTGCTTGTGGGCGCTTCAGTGTCGTCATCAAGGTTTTAAGGCATATTTTCCTTGGCCATGAGAATAATCCTGAATAGGCATACGAAATTTCACTTTATCTTAATTTTTTTCAGTTTTTTTGTCCATTGATTTATTATTCATGTTTAATTATTAGTCTTGGACTACATATATATTTGTATTTTTTTTCTCCATTTGTGTCTTTCCTTCATTACTCACGTTTTATTTATGTTTTGCACTTAAAGCCCCAATGGACCTTCAATTGTTTTGCGTTTTTCGCCTTTGATAACACTGCTGGTTAGGTTACTTACTAACATAATCACTATAAGAAAAGTATGTTAGTTACCAAATTACTAATAATAAATTCCTAAGTAAAATGGAAACTATGAAATATTGGGCATGACCTGACTGAAATTCAAATCTCTTAAGTCTTAGCAGATAAAATCAAATACAACCTATCAAAGATAATGGTACTATGCCACAGGAATATTGCTATGAGAGAACAACTAAAAATGAAGGAAATTGTGATTTGTGATAGTTTAATACATGTGACACGCGTGACTTGTATATGAAACTAGTAAATCTTGTAACCAAGAACTTCCAGTATTAGCAGTCAGTAAAAAACTCCCTGCTCCACCACACAAGCTGATGAAGAATCCAAGTTGCCTGCTGCTTATGGGCTGGAAAGTTCGTAAATGCGGTTTATTTAACTGACCAACTGTGAAAGTACATGGGACTTGATTCTTTTTTGCTCTCCTAAAAAGGAGTGAAGTTCCGCCCATGTCTGAATGCTAGCTCCAGGAATGCAAGTCTAAACTCTAATAGTCCGAACCTTCTTTTCAAAAAGGCGTTGGAGGAGGAAGACCTGAAGAAAGCTGACACCAACAAGGGTAACTGATTCAAGGATGGCTTTGGTGATTGCTCTTTGGCTCATACCTTCATTCACTACACTTATAGCAGAAAATAGTTAGCCCAATATGAGTTAACACTAACAAAAAGCAACTTCTTTTCTTTCTCTATTTGTTGGATTAAGCTTAACATAATACATTTTCTACAACTAATTACGCTCCTCTACTCTTTAAGTGGAACTAGACTGAGCGATCCTATATTGCTCGGACTCTCTGAAAATATCGTCGGGTGCGTGTCGGATCATGTAAAAGTAGTATATTTTTGGAGGATCTGACATGGGTGCAGCAATATTTTGGAGAGTCCGCGCAACATAGGAGCGATCTACTATGAAGATACAACGGGGAGGAAGATTCTGACTTCGCCACTATGCACCAGCACAGATATCGGGCAACTCTGTTCACCAAAGCTTGGATAGATGAAAAAAAATCGGCTAGTATTTTTGCCTCCGTTGGGGTTTGAATATGAGACATTATAGTTCTGAACTCACTTCATCGACCACTAGGTCACACCCTTGGGTGCAAATAGAAAAGATAATAGTATGATAGAACCAACGGTGCAGTAGAATCAGCACTTAACTTAAAAGTGAACTAGATAAAACGGAATCAAGGTGGTGAATGCTATAATAAGATTCCATGTATATGTTATGAGGGATTGTTTCTGGTAATGGCCAATGGTACACACAGAATTTGTGCAAACAGTGTAGACATATTGTCACAATTCGATCTTTAAGTACGTTCAGATATAAGATTGAGTTGGTTTTGAGGCTTTACTTCCTGTCCGAATTGATATTTTGCACATTATTTTTAGAAAATATAGGTTTATTGTATATACAGAGAAACTGATACCTAATGCCTGGCGGTCAGTTTGTGCTTCAAGCCAATGCTGTTCAAACTGTATGTTGTACAGAGCTGCTTCTAACTTTGATATCTGTTCCAGCAATGGATCAAAGTGCTCTGTAGCCATTTAGTCGCAAATATTCATACTTGTTAGTACGATAATAGAGTTGAAGAAAAGAAAAAGAACCAAAAGTATATACCATCCTTTGCATGCTGATCAAAGTATGTATAATGGACAACATGCACGTCGAAATCCAAGGTTTCATGATAAGGTGATTTATTTGTAAAGCAAAACTGGTAAACGCCTTTTCTGTGAGCTACAAACTCATGCTTTTCACTAGTCTTGTCGGGGAAGTTGTGAATCTGCTCTCCAGTAGGCCCCTTAATCTGAAAATTAAAACAGATCGACTTCAGAACATGCAGAAACAGTTGGTACAATATAACAACAACAACAACAAACCCAGTGTAATCCCACGAGTGGTGTCTGGGGAGGGTATACATTTACCTTGAGAAGGTAGAGAGACTGTTTCCGATAGACCCTCGTCAGAAACAGTTAGTACAATGACGATAAGAGAAAAAGCAGTTCAAGATAAGATAGAGGAAACCAGAATCAACATGTTGTCTAACAAGCACCAACCAAATTTCACAGCTTCTACTTCAAATAAGAAAACAATGCCACTAAAATTGCAAGAAGCACTTCCTATTAGAAGCAAGGCGACTTTGTAATGGAATTAAGGAAATAGAAGCTAGGGAATTTCACAGCTTCTACTTCAAGTTGAACACCAACTTATCAGGGAGTGGAGAACTAGTAGTAGGGGCAGCCCGCTGCACGAAGCATTTCGTGTTCATGCAGGGTTCGGGGAAGGGCTGCATCCCAATAGATATGATGTATGTAGCCTACCCTGATGCAAGCATCAATGGCTGATTCCATGGCTAGAACCCGTGACCTACATGTCACACGGAGACAACTTTATCGTTGCTCCAGGCTCCCTTCGGAACGCAGAACTAGTAAAACTTTTTAATCAACCTTTGGAAAGTTCAGAAGCAACCAGAAAGCATGTATAATGCAAATTCAAGTAGATATCATGTCTCTGTTGATGTTTTCAGTTATCACATTCTAACTATGAGACGAGTTCATTCTCTCAGGTATGTGTATCAAATCTCAATTTCTACTATCAAACTACATGGTTCTTTTTTAAGTACATTTGAACCATCAGATAAAAGTATTTTGCTTCTCTATTCTGTAAAATTCAATTTATATTGGCAGCCAAAAGAGTAGTTGTTACATAATGTTACGATCACTGATACGAAGTAATAGAGGTTAATCATAAAATTACTTATGAAATTTATCCTCTTTTGCTATTTGTAATTATGGCCAATATTTTGGCTAATGGAGTCCATCTCACATAAGCATAAACATCTTTGCAAAGTGTAGACTTTGTTGGCAATATTCTTTGGGACCCAAAAATATTGTATTGTGTGGTGGACATCATTTGTACAAGTTGTATCTCTTCTTCTTTTTTGCCTATAAAAGGGAAGGTCATTAGTTCATTTTAGACACACCAACAAGACTTGAGTCTTCATTTCTTGCTTCTTCCTTTCTTCCTTTGTTAAGAGTGTTTTGTATGAGAGTTAAGTGTAGGGAAGCACTTGTGTGAACCCTTTCTTTGGAGTAATCTTGTGAGTTTGTTCTCTTAGGGTATTTGGGATTAATTAGAGTGTTTACTCTAATTTTGTACTCTCTTTTGTACTCTTATTAGTATAGTGAAACCGGGTTTGTTTCAGTAGCTAATATGACTTTAACAAAGACTTATGTTGAGAAATTTGATCGAAGTGCAAACTTCAGAATGTGGCAATTAACGATGAAAGTTATCCTAATTCAAGATGGCTTAGATTTGGTGTTGCAAGAAAAGGAGAAGAAGTCGGATAAAATGACGGATGAGGAGTTTGTCGTTATAGACAAAAAGGCAAAAGAAGGTATCATATTAAATCTCTCAAATGAGGTTTTACGTGAAGTTTCTGTAGAAACCACAGCCAAAGGCATGTGAAAAAAATTGAAAACCTTATATATGAAGAGGGCGGTGGAAAATAGACTTTACCTTAAGCAGAAACTTTATACAATTCATATGGGTGAAGATTATTCTCTCTCATCTTGACACCTTTGATTCTATTCTTATGGATTTAAGTAACATAGATGCTGAAATTAAAGATGAGGATCAAGCCGTGTTATTGCTTTGTTCTCAACCCCCATCTTTGAAGCATATAAGAGATACTATGCTTTATGCAAAGGATAATATCTCTTATAAGGATATTAAATCTATCTTAAAATCAAAAGAACAGATAGATAGTGATATTACTGGGGAAGCTAGTGGAACTCAAGCGGAAGTTGGCTTGTTTGTTAGGGGCAAATCCGACTCCATATCCAAATACAATAATTTAGAGTGTCGCTATTGTCATGAGAAAGGTCACATTATCTTTGAATACTATAAACTGAAAAATAAAGAAAAGCATAAAGAAAAAAAAAATGAGCACAAAAATACTGACACCGCCGAAGCTAATGTAGCAACTAATGAGATTGATGGAACTATATTTTTAGCAACTGAAACTAGTTTCAAATTAAACAATGAGTGAATTTTAGATTCTGATTGTTCATATCATATGTTTCCTAGCAAGGACTTGTTTTCTACATATGATTCAGTTGCAGGTGGAGTTGTCCAATTGGGTAACAATGTTACTTGTAACGTTATTGGCAAAGGTACAATTCGGATCAGAATGCACGATGGTGTGGTGAGAACTCTCACCGATGTTAGATATGTTCCTGAGTTGAAGAAAAATCACATCTCTTTGGACACTTGAGAATCCCTTGGGTGCCAATTCACTAGTAAAAGTGGAGTTCTAAAAAATTTTCAAGGTGCTCTTGTGATCATAAAAGCACACAAATCTGATTCGTTGTATACTTTATTGTGCTCCATTGTTATATGCCCTACTACAGTTTCGGTATCACACAACTTGTCTGATTTTGATGGCATTAAATTTTGACATATGCCCATTGGAGCTTTTGCGGAGAAGGTGGAGCAAATTTACTATATCAGCCAAAATTAGGCCAAGGTGGAGATTTGTAATTATGGCCAATATTTTGGCTAATGGAGTCCATCTCACATAAGCATAAGCATCTTTGCAAAGTGTAGACTTTGTTGGCAATATTCTTTGGGACCCAAAAATATTGCATTGTGTGGTGGACATCATTTGCACAAGTTGTATCTCTTCTTTTATACCTAAGAGGCCAAGACTTTTTTGCCTATAAAAGGGAAGGCCATTAGTTCATTTTAGACACACCAACAAGACTTGAGTCTTCATTTCTTGTTTCTTCCTTTCCTCCTTTATTAAGAGTATTTTGTATGAGAGTTAGTGTTATAAAGCACTTGTGTGAACCCTTTCTTTGGAGTGATCTTGTGAGGTTATTCTCTTAGGGTATTTGGGATTAATTAGAGTTTTTATTCTAATTTCGTACTCTTTTTTGTACTCTTATTGGTATAGTAAAATTGCTCCTCTTCGCTTGTGGACGTAGGTCACTTTGACCGAACCACGTTAAATTTGTGTCTTCTTTATATGCTTTAATTGTCGTTGTTATCGACTTCTATTGTCTTTGTTATTGTCGTTATACCGTTGTTTGGCTAAATTTCGCACTACCCGGGTTCCCGATCCTAACACTATTCATTCTTCTTAATACACCACTTTTTAACTCTTTGTGATTTAACCTTTTGAACCTACATCAAACCTATATGTCGCTTTTCTCAACTAATATTGATTGGCTACACTAATCCCATTTCATAGAAGGGGAGCCTTGAAGCAACGGTAAAGTTGTCTCTGCATGATCTATAGGTTCGAGCCGTGGAATCTGCCATTGATGCAGCTTGCATCAGGGTAAGCTGCCCACATCACATCCCCTTGGGGTGCGGCCCTTTCCCGGACTCAGCGTGAACGTGCACCGGGCTGCCCTTTTATACTAATCCGATTTCATTATTTAATGTAAATCGTGCTCCAAACTAGCACGAAAAATAATTTATTTTCCTATAAAGGTGATGTTTCATCTATGTGCACCTCGACTAATTTATCGACCTATTACAGTTACAAGTAGATGGGCCAGGTGAATCTGCCTATGAAGTTTGGGCTAGATCGGCTCGCACTGAGTGTTGTAAGGGTAATTTGAACTCTACGATCTCCATAATTCTCTTCAATGTCTCAACCACTCGCTCATCCTTAGGCACAATTAGCACTAAAAACATATCAACATACGCAAACATAATGGACTTGTTTTTATGTTTGTTCAAAGGGCCGCCCAGATTTACCCGAAAAACGGATAGAGTTGAATTTATACGTAGTTCTAAGGATACGTGGTATAACTTGGTACAAATTGGAAAAAATAAGTAAAGATATACCGAATATTAACTGTAAAAAGGAATGAATACAAACCCAAATTGAGTAGAGAATGATTGATAAGTGAACGGGATGAATCAATGTTAAAAGCCCAAAAAAGGATAATATTTGCTAGATGTTATGTAAATTGGGGAATCCCGCGTTCACGCAGTCTGAAAAGGGTCCCACCCCAATGGTTGTAATTTTTTATGTCTGTTCGTAAGCTATATTTGGAAAAGCTTCAAACTTTGTTGTGAATCAATCAAGAAGCATTGAACGATAGAAATGGAAAAGAAAAGGGAAAGTGTAATCCCTGGTGAAAAAGAGAAAGTCAATACAACGGCGGATTATTTAGGGTTGGTTCAGCGCATTCAACTGGTCCACATATAATATGTGTATAACCATGTGTAATTAGTATATAATTCATGTATACCGGTTAGAAAAAGTAAACAGTAAATCTAGCCGGCTATTTGCGTAAAGATCCCTAACAAAAATTCAGATGTATACATATAATGGGATCCTCCTAAACTTGTTGACTCTAAATCTTCGATTCACCTCTGAGTAATCGCATCCCAGTTTCAGAATTTCAGAAGAACGGTAGAATTAAAAAAAAAAAGATTAATTACCAGAAGATCGACAGCACCCTCATTAGCAGAATGCCAGGGAGTGTCAGATTTGATAACAACAAAGGAGACATGAATAGTATCACCTTCCAAATGAACATTGTGAGACAAACACTCTTCTCTCTCTATCACAAATCTAATCCCATAAATTCCCTGAAAACACAACACTAAGAGAAACAGTGCCACTCTTGACAGGTTTTCCAACGACCTAATTCCCATTTATGCTGAGGCAGAACCAGGATTTCAAATTATCGTGACTGAAAATGAAAGGAAAAAAAAACACAAGATTTTTGAAAATGGTTATTATCTAACTGCCAAGACCAGGTTTATAGGTTCCACAACTGACACAAGGAGATTGTTTTTCTCCTACTAGAATACTTGAGAATTTTACACAAATGATTTAGGAGCGTTAATTTCACTTTTTATAGACATTTTCAAATAATTATTCAAATTTAGGTGTAAGAACACCCTTGATCATTAGGTCAGATTTTGGTGTGCTATTTCTAGGAATATAAAAGATGTTGAATTTATTATTAAGAGACTTACTAGCTAATATACATATAAGATAACGCATTTAAAAACTATATTGGATATTATTAATGAAAATCATAGCAGAGTACATGCTTGTAGCATTGTCGAAATAAAATAAAACCACATCCCAATAATATGAATTTGAACTTTCTAGTTTAATTTTGTGCGTTGTCGGCATCTTTAGAAGTAGTTTGGTGACGAGGATGAAGCTCCAACTTCCAACTGATTCAAATGATTGTTCAAATTAAACATAGCATTGTCTAACCACGCTTCAAACTTTGTCATTTCATCTGCATTGAGCTGCTCAATTGACTCCCACCAACCACTCTCTCTAGTTTCTATCATCTTGTCATAGAAACGTGTTTGAGCAGTTGCAGCGTCTTCTCTTGTATCAAACTCTTCAAGCCTACTACTGAGATGGTTCACTTTGTTTCGAGCATGAGCCGCAACTAGGTGATTAATCTCACTTAACTGCATATCAGGATTCTGAAAACGAGCAATAACAACATCATTTGTAGGGTGAAAAAATGAGAAAGGCTTACCGGTAGGGGAAGAAAGTACGATTCCAATGTCAACATCACATTGAGAAACAAGGTTGCCAGCCTTTTTGTATAAGCCCGTACGACGCTTTGAGAATGTGGCAAAGCGGTCGTCTTTGTTTTCTATTTTTTTCATTGCTATCTTTTGACGCCCTTTAGTCTTCTTGCTCACCATGGCTAAATTTATAAAGAGAGTTGATAACAACAACAAACAACAGTAAAATCTCACTAGTGGGGTCAAAGCTTACTAATGAAACTTTTATTGAGAAATGATATTTAGAAGAAGCACAATATCACGGGTATTTATATACATCAAGAACTACATCACAATGGCAATATCGCGCCAAATATTGTAAGTTAAAAAAAAATCTTTTCATCATACTAAAAAATTATAGTAGCAAAATGAAACCAATTTGATACCACATCAATGAAATCCAAAATTTTAAGTTGAATAGGTAAAATACTCTAATATACTTATGAAATTTACCAAATTAGGGTCAGCAAGTATGGATATAATTTGAGGGAAGACCAACTACGTACCAAATCTCTCAAAACTTTCTATATAAGAACTAAGAAGCAAAATCAAATTCATCACTTGCATTAACAAAAGCAAATCTAAAAGCCAACCCAAATATGAAAATGTCTTAATGTGCTTGCTAAAATTCATCAAGTCCAGGTTGACAATAGTGAACAACTGACTATAATTAGGAGTGATACAAATTGCAAATTAATCAAATCCTTGACTGCTTTAATATCAATAACATTTAGAACAGGATCCTAAATCTAACTTGAATAGGTAAATACTTTACCGAAACAACATAATAAAAACCAACTTTCCAAGTCATTAACATTAACTAAATCTGAAATTTGCTTTAACTGGAACATGTTTTAATGTGCTTGTTGAAATAAGTGTGAATGTAATTAGAAATGCATTGACGTCAATGAAAATCTGAAATTATAACTTGAATAGAAATGCAGTCACAATTTTGCTATATGCCGTTATAGTGAAAGGCTGTCATTTCAACGAATTGTTTTTCTTTTGGTTATTCCGTGGGCACTGTAAAATTTATACACCACGCACACAGATTCAAAAATCATCTAAAAGAAACTTGAAAAACATACCAATAGTTTTATGTGTATGTCCTGCGCATTGCTTGAACTATCAATTGCTTATTGATTCGCTTCTTTGTTATGTCACTACGTTTGAGAATTGAGAACCGCGCTTTATTTTTCAATCAGTAGGGGCTTATTAGGAATATGTTTTTAGACAAGTCAAGTGTTCAACAGATCCCTAAAGTGTAAAAAAGATAGGCCAGTGCGCAAAGCATTCCGCGTTCACGCAGGGTCCGGAAAAGCATCGCACCTCCTAAGGGTGTGATGTAGATAGTCTACCCTAACGCAAGTATTCGTGGCTGCATCCATGGCTCGAACCTACGACCTATAGGTCACACGGAGACAACTTTACCGTTGCTCCAAGGCTCCCCTCCGATCCCTAAAGTGTCCAAATGAAAAACTCTACTAATAAGTTCAGCAAGCCGTTTCCAGAATCATAACGTTGCAATTTCAATTATGACCTCTAGGCCATTTGAGCAACTTGACATTGCAAGTAGGAGTTGCAATTACCAACATTTAACCATCAAATGCATATATGCATTTGACAATACACTTGCAATTTTTGACATTTAAACTAGGCATAGACAAAATACAAAGCCAGTCCTCAGTCAAAGAAGGTGTAAACAAGAATGCAGCATATGTGCTGCACTTGTTTCCAGTGGCACCTTCCCCGAGCATTGAAATTGAAAACCTGTGCACGAAATGAGATTGCTACAACGCGTTTTACCGGGTTGGTTAAAGGAAAAGAAATCTTGAAACATTGTAGAAACACAGCGGCCTGTTACCAAGCTAAGCACCTGCTATAGAGGTAAAGGTACAAACACGGGTTGGATCACTCTATAATTGTTTTTAACATATATACGTATCAAAACTTGGTTGAAATTGTAGCGTCTGCAAAAATACACTCTCTTCCAAAGCTAACTTCTTATAGAGTCGCTGTTGATGAGTCATAAACTCCAAAAACAAATCTTTTGCCTGGTGTGCTCTTCTATATGCTTCACTTCCTGAGTGGACCACAATGAGGTCTTGGCAGATACTTTTAGCTTGACATATATCCTACACGAAAAAGTGAAGACGTAGGGGAGCGGGATCAACCTCAATAAACTGAAATCAAACAACAGATATCAAATGCGAAGAAACAAAACTGATACAAAATGAAAGACACCTCATAAAAACAAATGCACAGGGCTTGCCCCTCAAGAAGTTTAAAATTCTAAAAAGAATCCTTCCCTGTAATTACTTAAAGTATTTGCTAATTGTATCTAGAGAAGTCTTGGAGTGCAAGTACAGTGACATGACTCATGAAGTGGACGGGATGTGAGGCTGGATTCTGGATTCACAAGTCATCCCTAGGAGAAGAAGTTTCAAGTACCTTGGGTCAGTTATACAGGAGGATGGGGAGATTGACGAGGATGTCACACACCGTATTAGGGTGGGGTGGATGAAATGGAGACTTGCTTCCGGTGTTTTGTGTGACAAGAAGGTGCCACCAAAACTTAAGGTAAGTTCTACAGAACGGTGATTAGACTGACTATGTTGTATGGGGTTGAGTGATGGCAAGTTAATAGCTCACATGTCCAGAATATGAAGGTAGCTGAAATAAGGATGTTGAGATGGATGTGCGGGCATACCAGGATTGATAGAATTAGGAATGAAATTATTCAGGATAAGGCGGGCGTAGTCCATGTAGAAGACAAAATGCGGGAAGCGAGACTTAGATGGTTCGGACATGTGAAGAGGAGACACAGATGCACCAGTGAGGAGATGTGAGAGGTTGGCCTTGGAGGGCCTAGGAGAGGTAGAGGTAGGCCGAAGAAGTACTGGGGTGAGGTGATTAAGAAAGACACGGCGATGCTCCAATTTACCGAGGACATGACCCTTGATAGAGAGGTGTGGAGGTCGAGTATTATGATAGAAGGTTAGGTAGCCGAGTGGTCTCATTGTTCATACTAGTAGTATTAGTACATATTCCTATATTGTTTTTTTAGTCTTAGGTTTCTATTATTGTCGTTTCTTTTATTTTGTTCATCTTACTATCTTGTTATTATTAATGCTTCTTTTCCATGGCCCCTCACTGTTGTTTCTGGCTATTGTCTTTTCATTACTGTTGTTATGAATTACTGAGCGGAAGGTCTATTGAAAACAACCTATTTATCTCCACGAGGTAAGGGTAAGGCATGCATACACACTACCCTCCTCAACTACATCTACATAAGGAATAGTCTAGTCCAATATTTCTTGTCCTTAAAATATCATATATGCACCGCTGCTGATCCTTTCTAAATCCAGCAACCGGATAAATTCACTTATTTCACACTGGATCTAGCGCAGATCGTCTCCCGCCCACTAGTTAGAAGTAGAAGTAGAGGGCGTCGTTTGCCCCCCCACTTCAGAAAAAAGTAAAAAAGTATGGATGAAGTAAAAAGCATCTTTTAAATCGTAAATAAAATGAACCGAAACTTTTTAGCATTCGGAATGCTCTTATGTGTAGGATTCAATTCCAGTATAAAGAGCTTCTTCAATAATTCCAATTCCTGGAAAGCCTAGAAGTAGCCAATTTTCCATTTTTGATAGAAGGTGTTGTCTTTGGTACTACTATTATTTTACACGATCCAGGAATTTCCACAACGTTGGCGTGATTCGGTTATCTTATCTTTATCTACTTAAAGACTCTGCTTGTACGAGTCTTAAGTGATTCCAGGGCTGGGATCACGAACGTAGTTCAGTCACCTTCCACCTTCAGCGAAGAAATAAGGTGACCAGCTGGAAGATTTTGAAATCCCAACAATATTTTCTATATAAAAAGAATCCGGAAAGCCATCAGGCTTTAAAGGATAGGGGAGCTGGGTATGTTGTTGTATCTAGAGCAGTCTTGATTGTTCAGATTGCATTGATTTTACCTGATATGAAGTAAACATTGGCCTAACTTTTCACATTCTATTTCTTTTCCTTCTATTTTTTCCTAATGCATACTTGTCGCTTAGTTATAGAGGTCAGGTGACCGAATCAACAAGGTCCGGAGCCACTATGCCCTAGCTCTTCCTTGGCAGCTCATCATGAGACATTTAGTTCCTACGTTTTAAGCACTTTTACAAGTATGTCTAAGGAGCATAATTTCCTCAAGATCATGAGTATACAAATTTTATCCAGATAAATTTGATTATTACAGCAACTGATCTCACATTCTAAGCTCTCCCGTTTTCCTGCAGTTAAATGTAAATCAGGTTGTGAGTTGTGACAACTGGAGCATCCAGTTCTCTGGACTAGCTACAAGTAACAATTTAGATATGCATGCTGCTAGATTATCAAACAACCTCGTATATATGATATTTTCCAATGTCTTCTACCAAACTCCTCCGTGAAGTAGCTCTGACAATACAACATGCCATGCTGCATGTTTAACAAATGTGGGTCCTTGACCTACACCTTTTTCTAATCTATAACAAATAAAATGGTAGCAGTCTTACCTGGGATCCGTACACTAAGCTCCCAAGCGACAGCTTAATCATGGTATGCCTCAAATCTCTCACACTTATAACCACTGGCCTGTAAAAGACAAATGGAAATAGTACATGACTCCATAGGCATTTCTCAATCTAGAATATCGATGCACATGCATGAAAACATGATTTTTACTCTTAAACTGAATTAGTATCTACACATCTAACATAAAAATGGAGTTAGGACACTCACTTCAACTGTAGCACACTGACACCCCAACCCACCCCTTCACCACTACCATGAATCATGAATCCTAGGACTTCACCACCACCATCCGAGAGCCAACCCTGTCGCGACACTACCCCAGAAAGAATCGCCGGAATCTGACACACCACGCACCGCCACGCGCGGCAGATCTCCGACCACCCCTAGCCCACGCGCTGGCGCGTGACGCTTTTCCAGGCCAGATCCCAACTTTTTTCCTTCAAACAGCCTCTTCGCGAGGCTGTTCCGACACCACCCATCCATCAACCTCCAACTTCCGACCACTTTTGCTATTTTCCGGCGACGGAGGTGTCTTTTTCCGGCCAGATTTCACTCCCTCTCACTTTCTCTTCTTTAGTCAGTCTCCTAGCGGGACTTTTGGTTTAGCTATGACGGACTTTTCAGAGAGAAGCTCCTACTTCTCCCTAGAATCTAGAAAATTGGAAAACATGTCTTTTAGCAAAGCTGCATCTTGGCCAGCCCTCGAACTTGGGGGAAGAT